CTGAGAATAACTTTAGAATGTAAAACTGTCCATTTTGTATCCATATGTGAACAACTTGGTGCTCATAAGTCAGACAGGATAATTGTTGACTTAAACATGACTTTAAACAGTGATGCCTTCACTGTATTCATCCCCCAAGTAATTCTAAAAGCCTCAGAAGTGCCTCAATCTTGCTGAAATCATGCATGGTTGAACATTTGAAATGAGCTCCCACATCACCCCCAGGCACTGATTCAGACTTGATTGAGGCAAGGCAAGCTGCAAGTACTTATTTATACAACTACGTCATTTGGAGGATGTCCAAAATAGGGAAAGAAGCTGGGGAAAAAATAAGATTGCAAAAGAGATGCAAGGAAAGGGGAATTTCACCAACCACCTTTCTGTTAAATAAGTGCATTTTGGCTCCCATGAACAAGTTCTCTGATGATGACGATGATGATGATGGTGATGGAGAGGAAAAGCAGAAGTTCTGAGAGAAGAGGAGGAAAAGAGGAGGGGGAAATCAAAGAACTCCAACAACAATCTATATAATTATCGTCATCTCATGCTTTTCCTCTCTGGCAAAAAAGAAAAACATTCCATCCATTTGTAGAAATCGCCCAAGGGAGCGTTACATCAAAACTAATCATAACGATTAAAATCAGCTTCTCTGCAAGAAGGAGGCAAGTTAGAAGCAGAGGGTGAGGGTGTTGTAAATGCAGGAAAAATATATGTTTATTTGATTTTTCTAAAAGCATTACCTTAAACAAAGACTATGAGGCACTGCGGCTGTTCGCTCGCAGTCGTAAGGCGCATATTGGTTTAGACTGGGGCTGAGACATGAGCTAATTGTATCCTGATCTTTGCCTTGAGGGGTTTCGGAGCCCTGGAGCAAGTATTCTCTGTATTTTGTTCTGTCTACCTAAGCCAAGCTATTGCATTTCTCGCTGGTGTAGGAAGAGAGGCAGATCGTGGGCCAAATCAGAGGGAAAAGGTGCACAAACCCCCACTTTGTGCAGCTCTATGTTTCAGGTAAGCGAAGATTTCTTTTCTTTGCTGGTATTTCCGAGGTCGGATGGACTGGGACGGTGAGGCGCAGCAGCTTTTACGCATGTGCCAAACGATCCGAGCGGTACACTTCATAAAGAATATTTAACCACTTCCTGGCTTAATGTTCCGTGGTTTTTACTGAGCGCGTTTAAGCGTCTGTCAGCAGCACGGGGGTCTTCGGTTCCTCAGAAGCGGACTGCAGCGATTTAGTCGAAGCAAACACTCCGCCGCGTGAATTCGCTCCTGGCGCGTTTCAGCTCCAAAGGGAAATCAGAATCCTCTTCTGTGTCGCCGCCGCTGTTTCAAGTTGCTCCCAACTTAGTTAAACGCGCGTTTTTGCTCGTTTTTAAACGCAATTTGAACTCCGCTTTTCTCCTTTTCATTCCTCCCCCCCCAACTGCCCCAGATCCTAATGAAAGACGCCATTGTGAAGTAATTTCGCCGCGGGCGTATTTCTTATTCTGTATGACAGGACACAAGCGTCAATGCAGTTTGTGAATCACTCTTTAATAAAAAAAAAAAACAGGCTGTGTTAACAGAAACGTATTTATTTAGAGTATGACAAAAATAGAAACGACTTGGCCCTTTTTACGCTGTGCGTAATCAACTCCGAGGATCTGGATGAGCGAATAGAGCTTTAAAAAGTTGAATTAATGAACTTGAAGTGTTGGAATAAGAGGATTTTAAATTAAATGCACACATAGCACATTTCAATTTCACTGTTAGTTAATATCTGTGAGAATATTTGGTTATGTATAGGAAAAGAGGACGCTGAAGGGGATGTTATGAACAAATACTTAAAGTTAGTCACCTTAAATGGGTGGAGGCTTGTCAGGACTGATCACCTGATGGCGCTGTTACAAAACCATCCCATACAGAGGAACTTTATATATATATATATATATATATATATATATATATATATATATATATATATATATATATATATATATATATATATATATATATATATATATATATATATGAAGAGCCTTGAGGCGACACATTGTTATTATATTCCATCTTGGGCCTCTGCCACTCCTGCGCCTTGGGACTCTTTGTTGTGCCAGTGAACATGTCTCCAACAGCCTGCTGCAGCTCAGGGCTGATCACACTTCTCTATCTGTGATGTCATGCCGATGCACAAGAAGATGCACAAAGACATATTCAGAAACAGATGGCGATGCTCAAATTCATGGACGTAATTTTTTTTTGCCCCCCCCCCCCCCCCCCCACACACACACACACACACTTTTTCCAAAGTCTAGTTTTGACCCCTGCACTTTTTACCATCAATAAACAGTATTATGCTTTATCAAATTGACACTGGTTGAGCTCTAGGACCAGGCGGAAAACAACTGTTTGTGTTGAAGCCTGTTTCCCATTAGAGCATACTGTAAAGTCCCCCCCCCCCCCCATGTCTCCCCCACTTCTAAAGTGAAAATCACGTCCATGCTCAAATTTATCCTTTCGTTGTTTAGATTTAGACCTTTAAATCAGATTATTTTATTAGCAAGCGTTCATCCAAAAAGTTAAAATACTTCCCCTGAGGCTTTATTGATATTTAAGAACTTGCTACCTGTTGTTCTCTTTTCTTTGCAGCAGTTGTTGGCTAAAGTTAAAGAGCAGAGCTGTTTGGACATTTGAAACAAATCGCCACTGGCAACTAAAAGGAGAGACAGCATCCAGATTATGTAAATACTGTTCTGCTCGCCTCCGACTGAATCCTAATGTTTGGAAATGTGAATTGTGTGTTTGGGAACGTGGACAGGATGCAGCATTGTGAGACAAACAAAAGAAAAGTTTGTGTATGGTGATTCCAAAAATACAATAGGAGTTGGGAAAGTGTTCTCAGAAGTTTGAATGAAGGTTTTGGGATTATTTTGATGGATTATGTTTTAGATAAACTCCAGGTTCTGAGTGACAACAGGGTGTGCTGTCGCTGCAGATCCTTGCTGGTGGATTTGATGACCTTATGACCTTTGGATTGCTCTCTGTGTAAATCGAACAGGCGACACAAACATCTTCCCAAGAAAACATCCACAACGTGTTCTTACACGACTTCGGAGTGATTTTGTGATATAAGAGCTGATTCCCTTGACCCCCAGCATGCCACCCACCCAACCGCCAGTTCTCTTTCACTCCCTCTTCCTTTCTCCCCTGCAATTTTCCATAATGCCTCACAGATTTTACACTCAATCCACCTTTGCGATGACAAGGCTTTGAGGAAATCCAATTCCACCGAGCTGTTTTCAGAACTTACTCTCCACAGGCACACACACTCACTTTCACTCACTCACACACACACACACACACACACACACACACACCACCATCTCCACAAATTAGTCAGGGAACAAATTACCTGCATTCTGAGTGTGATCCCACGCACTTTGCAGGCTGCCTTACACAGGTCCCCTTTTGAAGAGCAGCCATGTGATTTCTCTCTCTTTTGCCCCGCAGGCCCCTTTGCCTTCTGCAAGGGATTCTGGAGTTGAATTTTAAAAACTATGTATGGCTGCTGCCTGCGCTTATCAGCGCGTGCACAAGTGGCATGCAAATCAAACGAGTATCACACACCCGCATTGGAGGCCTACACTCAAAGGCAAGCTTAATTGCTAATTGGGTATCTAGGTGTGAAACCCACATTGCCAATGAGAGGGAGGAACGTGGATGTTTTAAGGCCAGTGGTTGAACTAATTAATTTTAATCTGACTATTATTAAAAACTGCAAATTCTCTGCATTTTCTGTGGGGGAAACAGCCCAAGAGAGTGCTGTGGAAGGAGTTTTAACTGCAGTTGGACATGTCGTGGTTGGGATTTTATACCGCGTGATATCATCAGTGTAGATGTGTGATAGCGATGTGGTGATTAGAAACAGGGGCTGAAGAGCTAAACTGTGGCCAATAGCGCCAACAAGTGGGAGCCAGAGGGAGGCATTAACACACCTTCAGAGTTACTGCCCCATCCCTGTTCAGAATGTTCATTTACATCTATTGATTTATGCTTATGTTGCTTATTTACTGCAACCAATTTCTATGTATTAGAAGAACTATTTCTTTGTTTATAATGCTTTTTGACAATTATTCTTCAATCATTGTAAAGCCCGACCTTTACTCCTGGGTTTAATTAATAAGATTTGTGCAGCCATGAAATTAGCAAAACAACCAAAGGTGTAGGTAGAGCCTCCAAAAGTGTGTCTTAAAACTCCTCTGCAATAAATTCACTCTCATTTTAAAATGTTTGATGCACTGGAATATTGCATTCGGTAATAATGAACAAAACACCAAAATATAGTTTATGTTTAAATCTTATTCACTGTGAGGGTCATTGCAGCACGTGGAAAACCAAATTGAAGCTATTCCTAGTCACATTTAGCTGTGGAATGGCATCCCTTTCCTTAACCTGGAGCTTGTGTTTCTGGTAACAGCTTGCTGCTCAAAGACTCCTGCAGAGGATTCTGTCACTTTTTTTCTCTTTGCACAAACATGTCTTGCAGTGATGCTCTTTCCACAGATGCATGATCCTAACACAATTTCTAGTGATAATAAAGCAAAATAAATAAATAAATAAACCCACTATTCCTTATTTTTGTGCTGTTTATATGACAATATTGTAATTAAACAATCAAAAACATGTATGGGTGTTCATGTGCCACCCCCATTGCCGCCCCCATAACTACCAATTTGAAATTTGTCAATGCTTGCCACTGATTGTAGCTCTTAAGTGTCACTTTTAAAAAAAATCAACATTGTTGTTATTGTGGGGCAGAAGGTTTCCTCTGATCTGTTTTTCAGAGCTGATTTGGACTGATTGAGAGAATAGGTGCTGTTTGATTGCCATGTTGTAGATATTTGTTTGATCCAGAGGGTGTGTGTTGGCCACAGCGTTTGGGTTGGTCAATGTTGAGCTTGTTTGGTGCTTTGAAAGAGGTTTTGACCCGCTAAACCAAACAGCTGCTGAACAAGGGGCATCAGATGTGATGAGGGGAGGAAGAGGAGGTGACCGCTGTTGCGCCTCCTAAAGAGGGCAAAGGCCAGCTGCGGTTGCGTCCAGATGTGCGCGGCAGCAGCAGCAGCATCACAACGTTTATCTAGTCGGGCTGGGTTTGTTTTACTCTGAAAATGCGACACACATACATGCCAGTGAAACAGCGACAGCCCAAAAGAGCCTCGGGCGCCACAATGCTAACGTTGTCTGGGGCTTTGACTTCTCCCAGCCAGTGTGAAGAAGCTGCTCCGCGCGACAGTCACGGCGCTCCTCCGCCGCTCTTCCTCTCGCTCTCTCCCGCTGTTCACGCTTTTTTCCTCCGTCCTACATTCTTTTTTTCCCTCTGTTAGAATAAACGGTCCCAACTCTCTCTCTCTCTCTCTCTCTCTCTCTCTCTCTCTCTCTCTCTCTCTCTCTCTCTCTCTCTCTCTCTCTCTCTCTCTCTCTCTCTCTCTCTCTCTCTGCGTCGATCGCCCTCTGAACCTTTAACGCGTGAGCATGATGGACGAAACGGATATCATGGATCTTACGCATCAGAAAGCGAAGAAGCGACCGCGTCCAATCAGTTCGGTGGATGAGTCCGTGCATGCGTCGCTCAAGCGGCTCCCGATGCGAGCGGCGGAGTGCAGGGAGCCCTCACTGATGTTCGCTGTCAGAGGAGAGCCGGTCCCCGCTGCGTCTCTGAAGCAGAATGATCACTCGGTGGCTTCCTCTCCAACCACAGTTATGCCAGCACAGGTAATACTAATAATGGAAATACTAAAAAACGATGTTTTCTTATACAAGTTAGAATTATTATTTTTTTTATTTTAATTGCCTTCTTTCCATCATTTGTGCGCATATTTTTTTGCATAATATTGCCTTACTGACTTTTCTGCTCTTTCCTGATTTAATTTTTCGTTTTTCCGTTTTAGATGCACTGTTTTTTTCCCCCTTTCACTCAAAAGTTTGAAACTTTTTTGGGGGGAGAAACAGCTATTCAGTCGCAGCTTATAAGAAAATTGTGTTTGTAGGTTAATATGAGACTGATTTTCCCACCAAATCCTATTATGGTATTCAAATCAAGAGTCATTATTGCTCACTTCCAAGAGAGATTGATGCTCCAAATTAATTTGGTTTTGGAGATTATGGCCCACAGGAGGTAGATGCTTGTAGACTGTGGCAACATTCAGGTCAAGGTCAGGCTGCTTCTATCCTGTTGGAAGAAAATCCTCCAACCCTGGCTGTGGAGTGGGAAGAAACAGATTTTTGCATCTGCAGTGTTTTAATTCTGTCGTCATTTTGAATTTATCTTTTCTTTTTTTTATGCTTTTCTAGGATAATCGCTCCAGCATGTCCAGACCCATGATTACGCGGTCACCAGTGTCTCCTTTGAGTAACCAGGGCATCCCCACACCTGCACAGCTCACCAAGTCCAATGCCCCTGTGCACATTGATGTGGGCGGACACATGTACACCAGCAGTTTGGCCACCCTGACCAAATTCCCAGAGTCTCGGTGGGTCTTACTTGCTCGATTTTCTGAAAAAACTCTCTGCAGTTTTAGGCTAAATGTGTTTAGCAGTGTCACGATTTCCTCAGAGTTTAATGTCAGCGTGTTTGATGTCATTATGCGACAGTCAAATGTCACAACCCTTCAAATCTCACAAACACACTTGGAATAGATAGAGATTTAGTGTCAGGTACTTATTTTTTTAAGCACTCAGGTGCATCAAAGCACTTCTTCTGGTGAAGTCGGCAGTTATTTTAAGGGGTAAACAATCCTGTGAGAACACAAAGTGCAGAATGCAGAGCCCAGACAAAAGCAACTTGCTTATTCTGACAGATGTCATGGCAGCAGCAAAGAGCCAAGGGGCATGGAGCCATCTGGAGGCCGGGAGGCCACGCTGTCGCTCCGAGAGCAGGCCTCAGGGTGACAGGCACCCGGCCTCGGGCAACCCAGCACCAGCTGGACCTGACCTCTCCACTCCACCTCTGATTTTAATCCTTTCTTTTCTTTCTTTTTCATGCACATATATTACTCAGCCTTTCTCTCTTTTTGTCTAAGCCTCCTTGTAGAGTCCATCACTACAGTTTGTGCTTTAATAAATCAAAATCTTAATCTCAACATGTTGTTCTCCCACCTCTCTCCCTCTCCTCCTCCGTCCTCCCCCTCCCGCTGTAGAATTGGTCGTCTCTTTGATGGCACGGAGCCTATAGTCCTGGACAGCCTGAAGCAGCACTACTTCATTGACAGGGATGGACACATGTTCCGCTACATTCTCAACTTCCTCAGGACGTCCAAGCTCCTGATTCCAGACGACTTCAAAGTGAGTGGGTGACCATCCTAGAAACTGTAAAGTGCCATCAGCTAGTCAGCAGTCCTGCAACTTAGCTCACACAATAGATGCTAAGGCTATAGATCGCCTTTGGTCATCGGTCTTCGTTGAGATGGTGAAAACCATTCTGGAGATAAAATATCAAGAATCTAACAAAAGAAATGTTGAATTTTGGTGACACCAGTGAGCATTTTTGCAGGTAATCACGTGCATTGACTGTATGGCAGACTGTGTATTCAATTTAATATGTTCTCCAGTGTCCATTGATGGTGTTTCTCACAGGGTGACACATTAACATTCCTTCTTTTTACTCATATGTGTCATTTAGTCAGTAATTACCAAACTTGCCCTGGGAGAAAACAAATAAGCACATTATCTGATGGACTGTCCACAGTGCAAGTCAATCAGTGGAAAGTATGCCAGTTAAAATAAGCAAAGGCTCAAGTTCAGGCAGAGGCCATTTTCACATTTGGAGAGAAGCATGAGCGAACTTGAGCTCATTTCAACCTTTCAGCTTCATACCTCTAGTAAATGTTGCTGATCAGTGACCATTCATTACACGTTTGTGTTTGAAATTTGAATCATTAATTTCCTTTTCTCAGTATTTTGCACTTCTCACTCATTTTCCCACAAGGACTACAGCCTGCTGTATGAGGAGGCTCGATACTTTCAGCTGCAGCCCATGCTTGCCGAGCTGGAGCGCTGGCGCCAGGACCAGGAGCTGGGTCGGGTCTCCCGCCCCTGCGAATGCTTGGTTGTGCGCGTGGCGCCTGACCTGGGCGAGAGGATCACGCTCAGCGGTGACAAGGCCCTGATCGAAGACGTTTTTCCTGAAATTGGTGACATCATGTGCAACTCCGTCAACGCCGGATGGAACCACGACTCCACACACGTCATCCGCTTCCCTCTGAATGGCTACTGCCACCTCAACTCAGTCCAGGTGAGGGGGTAACTTTTGCTGATCTGCTCACGAGCACTTTATCCTTTATTTGACAACATTCTGGAATGTAAAGTATAAATATATATTTAAAGGATTGAGAACATCTATTCCTTTAGGCAAGGCAGCTTTATTTGTATATTTTATACACGGAGGCAATTTAATGTGCTTTCCATTAGCGAGGATAGCTATGAACATTAAAGTAACGTGGCAGCACAAATAAAATACACAAATACATTTAGATCTAATTAAATCAGAAATAAGACAAAGTTAAAGGGTGAGCAGTTACAGTGCAGAAGGTGCAACATTAAAAGGCTGATGAATACATGAAAGTTTAGCACTGGCATAAAAAGTCCGACTGCAGACTCGTATCATTTTATAAATCTGACCAAATCAGAAGAAAACCCTTAGAGTAAAATGTGTTCTTTGATGAAGTAATCAAAGCATTCATTTAGCAAGTTACACATCTTTCTCAGTATTTACTTCGCTTCGGTCTGACTGGAATAATAATCTGGACTTTGGCTCCAAAGCTGGTGGGTGTACCTTTTTCTCAATAGTAGCTTTTTCAAAGTGAAAAGCTCAGTTCGTGAGGAGACAGTAAAGACATTAATGGTAAGGTGGAGTGACATGAAACAACAAAAGGGATTAAAACGACAGGAAGTTGAGAAGCACTAAGTAAAGCAGCAAGTGGCTCAAGTGCACATTAAAGTTAAAGTCCCACAGTCGTCACACACACTGGCGTGTGGTAAAAATTACCCTCCGCATTTGATCCATCCCGGCGAGGAGAGGTGAGCTGCAGACATGGCTGCGCTCAGGAGCTATTTGGTGGTTTTACATAAAATCTGATGCATTTTTCTTATTGACATTAATCAGAAAACCTCTGCTTTGCTGATAAACAATGCTTCTCTTTGAACAATTAATGTCAAGTGCCAGCATACATCTGCTTTCGTTCATTTAACGGCTCGTATCGTTTAACCAGTTTAAACTAAACCAAAACACATCAAACCTGGTCTCTAACTCCGCTTTTATAATCATCTTGAATTTGGCAAATATTCTTTTTTGTGATTATATATTGATATTCCACTGATTCATTAATGGTAAAATCCTCAACTATGCATCAATAACTGATGAAGAGGAGGCATATTAGACAAGATTTCACAAAGATTTGGATTGCGTCTCCATTTGAGGAAGTCAAGTCTTACAAAAACACACAAACAAACCCCATCTCTGAAGTGTGTGAGTGGTGGAGAGCAAGCAAGAGAGTGAGCATGCTCCCTGGCAGTTTGTCCCCAGGCAGGGCCCATAATCCTGTTTGGTTATTAAAGCACGCCGGCGGTGAATGCTGTATCTGCGGCTAATGGAGGCAAGGCAGGAGGGGAGGGAGGCAGAGAGAGCTGCCAGCAGTAGGGGGACCTTTGTAGTTTTGGCGGAGGCTTGGGCCTGGGGGAGAACTGGAGAAGGGGGGAGGTTTTGCTGAGCAGCCTGTACTGAGCCAAGTGGCAGAGAGAAAGCCTCACTGCTCCCTGGGGCCTCTTCAATGGAATGTGATCCTACAGGCCCCCCGGACACATCTGTAGATGTCTGCAAGGCTGTGAGATCAGAAACAGCTACACAAACCCAGAGACAAACACACATATACACACAAGAAGAAGAAGGGAAAAAAAACAATGAAAGAGTGGCATGAGGCAATATGAGAAGCTCTTTGTTTTGTGAAAGTCTTGTGAAAGTCTCATCCAAATTCCCATCACAAGACGTATGTTGCCGCAGTTTGGACCCAAAGCTATTTTCAGTGCTAGAGTTAGCACTAAGACAGGAGCATATTATTGCAGGAGTTCGGTGTGTTTTCCAGCCTCGCGGTGCCACAGAAAAGTTTGAGGTTACATTCAAGTTTTAGCATTTTAGTTTATAATGAGTTGAAAAATACTTGATCAAAATCAACAAACTAAAAGTAGGCACTGCTGGTGGTGCTGCACATCCTGTATTCACAAAGCTTTATGTCGCCTTCAACGTCTTAATCCTTCCGTCTCGTTCAGGTTCTAGAGCGTCTCCAACAGCGTGGTTTTGAGATCGCTGGCTCCTGTGGAGGAGGGGTGGATTCATCCCAGTTCAGCGAGTATGTCCTGAGGCGGGAACTGAGGAGGACAAGTCAGCGAGGACCCAATTCAAACAGGATAAAGCAAGAGCAGCTGGACTAGAAACCTCCAGACCAGTAGGAGGTGCTAGACTTTTCTGTAGCAGCCAAACATTTGAAGCTGCAGAACAATGTGGACTCTGTTTTTCTTCATTTGCTTGTTGATGTTTCTGTTTTCTTAAACTTGAGAACCACCTACAGAATAAAAACATGAAGTGCAACAGGAGATTTTTGCCATAAGAAGATACAAGACATGTGATGAGTTTGAAATTGCAAAGACATTTGTGATTGTTCTGTCCCCAAAAAAACATCAGCTGAAAAAAATAATAAAAATAGCTATTTATACACGCTGGAGCCCCCTTGGGATAAAGTTTGTTTTAAAACTTGGAGCCTACATTAGGTCGAAAACTTCAAACTCACCAGTTTAAATTTAAAGTCTTTTATTGCTTATTTAGTGTTGCATAGTTTGTCATCAGTGACTTGATTCTATTGTCTCTAATCGGCTTCCATCCCTGCTTCCAAAAAGATAAAGTTGGTGTTGCATTAAGTACAGAATGTCTCAGATGTCAAAAACACTTAGATCCAACTACAATATTTTTACATTATTATTATTATTATTATTATTATTATTATTATTATTATTATTATTATTATTATTATCGTTACTACTGTTATTATTATTATTATTATTATTATTAATTAAGTGGAATTTAAACTATTCATTAAATACAAATTGAATGATTATGACCAAAATATTCATGACAGACATGAACGACTTTTGTAAAATATTACAAATTGTTACATCATTTGCCCTCATCCAACAAAAACCTCCAAGTCCTTACCCAGGACTTATTTATTAGGAACATTATTTTATTTTTTCCTCTTGAGTTATGACTTGTAACTTTTCACTGTACTGTAATGGCTTTGTGTTTTTTTTACAATGAATCTTTTTAAAGCAAATTTCTTGCTTCAAACATGACTGAACAGATTAAAAGCTTATTGTACTTATCCAAACCGAGGTGACTTGTATTTGTAGCACATGTTGATATGAAGTCAGATATAAAGTATTTCTAAGATTACTGAAACACCTACGCTCCTAGAGGAATGTAGCAAAAACAAATGTGAAAATAAATCTCAGCTAAAGGTGTCTGTTTGCCATTTTTACTTTCTGACAAGTGTTGCACTTGAAGAAGATTTTGAGTAACAGCATAGCTTTGATCCTTTGGATTGGGTTTCTGTGGAAAGGTTCTAAATAATTAGCTGACCTGTTGTGTAGCTCAGTTTTAAGACATGATTGAGCTGAACCAGATGGACAAGCTAACCGCTAACCGTAGCAAGGCAAGTTTTAAAGTGGATTTCTCTTTCTCAAAATTTCAAAACTTCTTTTACGACTACAATTAATATAAACTAAGATTTAGTGGCTTGTATTAAAGATATGGTTCACTCATTTAATCAATACATTTGTAGTAGTCGAATGCCTTGCAGGCAGTACTTGGGGCAAAAAAGCCCTGAATGCTTGGATCATCACCGACAAGTCGGCAGAAAGTGACAGAACGCAACAGGATTTGTTAATTGGACATCTTGCCTCAGACTAGAAAACAGCAACATGACTGTATCACTGACTTGCAATGTGGATGTTTTATCTTCACAAAAAACACAAGCCTGGAGGAGCTTTTCTGTGTGGTGGAGCTGCTAATGCTAACGGTTAGCCTTTATTAGTCGGGATGTTCTCTGATGTTTCCTAAATGTTCAAACAACAGCCGTCTCCGTCGTGAGTCATGATGGGTGGGCCCATGAATGTTAAGTAACAGTGTGACGTAGATCTGCCAGGATTTTCTTATCCTAGAGTTTCACCGTCTATTTTCTATCAGAGGCTAATGCAGGAGATAGGTGTAGGAGACTATTTTCATGTTCAGCCTGCATGAAAAACTCAGATTGACTGCTTATAATCTGAAATAATCATTAGCACATGTATTTTCAGAGTTCCGTGTTGGTACTGAAGAAGTGAAATATAGACAATGTGTTTTATCATATTTGATTGGAAATAGGTGGAATGATTCGTCCAGGTTGGGAATGAGTCTGCTTTAAGAAGAGTTTTACCCTAATTCACACCAGGTGCATCTGTGACGCATTACAGCAGCAAAGAAGTATACCTGCAAGCTCCGCAGTACATCAGTTCACACTTCATGTTGGACTTATAACATCACAAAAATCATGGGAATACAGTATATGCTTTCAAATTACCAGTTTATACAATGTAAGTCTTTTTAACTCACCATACAATCACATTTACAATCACATCATTGTTGATATTTCAGTCCATGGTGTCATGAATAATGTGATTCTGAACTACCAGGTTTTAAAACCTCGTGATGAAAAACATTGTTGCTATATCCTCAAAAGACGCAGAGATCAAATAAGCCATTCGTTCACCGATAAAGTCGTAAATGCTTGCACACCGTAGTTAAGGAATCACAACCCTCCATTTGTCTTTTATTTTGAAACTTACTGGATGCTTTACACTAATACGTGTGTGATTTCCTGTTTAGCCCTATGCTACCTGTGGAACTTGACACATCCTTGAAGCGTGTCGTCGCAATAGAACCCATTCTTATTTTTACCAGTCAGAAACAAACCACAGACTAAAGTGGCTTCTATTTACCACAGAGACGACGCCGCAGACGCTCCCGGTGTGAACTGAGGTAAGTGTGTTGGAGTCTTATTTTTGAGTTATTTGAGATGTTCAGGTCTGCCGTGTTAAAGTAGCTGAGCCAAAAGGCAACGTTCTTGACTTACTGATCTATTTAGGTTTCACCCCTTCTTTGCGGTCATACTAAAATAATTAAAACCTTAATGTGAAAAGAGATGTCACACAAAGGAAGCTCTAAGTAGAGTTTCTGCATCTCTGCATCAAATAGAGTCAACTGACGTGGCTCAGCCTTGGGATTTGGACATCTCTTATCACCTTTCTCTGGAGGCTTTCTGAACACATCCCACTACGAGACCCCATCCTGACCAGCTTGGGAGCTCTTCAGGAAGAGCAGGGGATATTTGCCTAGGTTTCCTGCTTTGTGGAACTTTTACATTTGCGCCCTAACCTTGGATAAATTAATGAAAATTTGGTGGATCTAGTGACTCATTTCCTATCTGAAATTTTTGTGGAAAACTAACAAGTTGGACGTTCCTGTTCTATTGTGATTGACCCTTCTCATGTTAGCTTTTCTGTCTATCTTTATTTCTCCAAAATAAGGTTGTTAAAAGAGCTACATCAAGTGAAATATTCTCTAATTTTTTTGGTAAAATTCCAACAGAATTCCAATTTCAAAAGATCTGATGTTACTTTGAAAAGAATCATCCTCATCTGCTCTCGCCTTTCTTTATCTCTCACATCCGTATAGTGTAGCACTCTTCAACCAGGGAGGCAAGTCAGACTACCAGAGCAGTTTTCTACCTTGAAATATTTCTGCTGCTGGTGCATCAGTGACCACACAGAACAGTCTTTGCTTAGTTAAACTGAATAGAGTAGACTTCCCCACGCAAGCACTGTCAGTTGTGTTTCCACATATTCCTGCAGGGTCAAAATCCAAAGTGAAATCCCACACAGAGGCCTGTCGTCATGTCTCTGTCCCTTTTGGCAGAAACTCCACTTTCTTTGACTATCTGCAGTTTAAGCTATATGTCTCCCTTTCAGCTCCTTTTTGCCCCAGATTTTCTTTGGAGCTGAATGCTGCAAACCAGAAGTTCTCCCAAATTATTTGTTGTCAATAAAAAACTGAAACATACTTTTGCTTAGACATCACAAGTATTAAAGCTTTTATAGCAAATTTGGAAAACAAATTAGCTTAAGACATTTATTTCATATCTCTTAACCACGTTCTAACATAAGATAGCTATAATTATATCGTGGATTGAAAAAAGATCTTGAAAAATGAAAGAATAAATTATAAAGTCAGTGACTCAGTGCAATTTGCTGGGTTTCTTATATAGAAAACGTTTTACTGATTGGCTTAATGAACTTACCTGTATTGGAATGTTTACTATGTGAAGTGCCTTGAGACGACTCTTGTCATGATTTGGCACAAAATAAATAAACTTGAGTTGAATTGAATTGAGTTAAAGTGGTTTTCTCACATTTGTGTACAAACCTCTGCTGAAAACACAGAAAGCAACCATTGGACCATGTCTGTCTTGCTGAAACGCCACATTTCCATCCTTCACTCATTACGCGTTTGTACAATTAGCAACAGAACACCACTGGTGTGAGAGGTTTTGCGCTCAGTTATATCAGAGATGGAGAAACAGCCAGCTGCTCAACTTTAGAACAAAAAGAGTACCATAAAAGAAAAACACCATTTGAAGTCACAGACAACAAAATAGGTTTGAACCTAGCAAACAGTCACTGGTCTTTAGCGCTCTCTCGTTTACTCTGGTAATGCAGAGTTGTGGTTCCAGCCAACACATTCTCACACCCGAAGCGGCGAAAACTGATGAAGGGTGACCAAGCGTTTGTTTTAGAAACTTTTAATAAAGTTTTAACCAGGTGTTTTATATAGTTGATAATTTGTCTTTTAACTGTTAATCTTATAGTGAATTTTTCGTTTTGCATTATTTTAATAATGCTCGCCATCTGTTTGCTCTTGTTTTTAGAACCTTTTATCACAATTAAACCCATTTTAAATGCCACTGTCGTATTTCTTATGTTACCCCCTCCTTCACATTTTAACATCTCCTGTCGGGGACGTAACACTGACGCTTTGGGAGGCGACGCGCTGCGCCAGAACGTCGCTTTCCGACACCAGCAGTAAAACTAAGATTTCATCAACATTTAACCTCTAACCTCTAGCAGTTTAACCTTCCCCTCGCCCCCCATCCTAACCTTAACCCAGTTTCTCTTTCTAAATTTCCCGTTCACCGTGTTTGAGAGGGACGATGCAACTAGACACAAAGTTTTGCGTGTGAATGTGGGTTAAGGTTAGGATGGGAGTGAGGGGAAGGTTAAATAGCAAGAGGGTGAAGGTCACAGTTTGCTAAAATCTCTGTTTACCGCGGGCTTCGGAAAGCGACGTTCTGGCACAACGGGTAGCTTCCCAACGCGTTGGGGCTCCAAACAAACGCTTAGTCACCCTTCGTCAGTTTCAGCTGCTTCGGGTGTGAGAATGTGTTGTTCCAGCAGAAGGGTTTCAGGAAAGATAACCGAGGGGAGGAGTGAGTGTTTCCTGACCGTGCCTGTGTTCAAAATGTAGCTTGTTCTGCAGCTTTAATCAGACAAGATTATTGATACTGTTTAAAGCATTATGTTTACTAATGTAGGGTAATTTATATTAACACATTTCATAAGTAGCACTGACACTAGACCTTCTTGATTTCCAAGCATATCTGCACTTTAATACCCACATCAAAAAACACTTAGTAAGGTAGCTTGTACTACACCACATGGATAAACATAAAAACTGTTAATCTGTCAAGTCTTTAAAACCACTCTTGCCTTCTTTTCAGTGTTCCCTGGGGAAAATGTCACTATCAGTTCTACCGAGGACTAAAATTACCTCAAGCAGTTCCTTATTTGACCCATACCTGTCTAACTTTCCCATGCAGCAAAGCTGCCTTGAGCTGCTTCAAGTGGTTTAAACCTTTCACCTGATCTTAGAAAGGAAAACATGATAATTCAGTGAGAATATTCAACACCTGAATGCATTCATGACAATGGTACAAAAGGTCCAGTGCAAGATCTAGAAATGCCAAATAATACTGTAAAAATACATTCTTTGTTGTCCAGTTTCATTCTACCGTCAAAACCATTCATGTAATGTCAATTGGTGATTCCAAGTTGGAGTTGGGTATAGGTATGATTGTAGCTAAATAGTTTAATTGTCTCTATGTAGACCTGTAATGGACTGTCAACTTGTCCAGGGTGCTCCAGGGAGATAGGCTCCCACTGCCTGTAAACCCAAGGAACAAAAAGGTATGGATGATGCTGAATAACGTTCTCCTCTCAGGACCCAGTCTGCTGGAGAAAGAATGTGTGATATTTAAAACCTTATTTTTATTTAAGTGGGTTTGGTAGCCCAGAAATCTAGACCAATCGTAGAAATAGCAGGAAGATTTTACTTTGCAGGTAGATCTAGCAACTCTCTATGGTATCTTCAG